ACAAACAGATGACAGAATGATTAACTTGGATATAGGTGCTCGATGATTGTTTATTTACAAATATTTCTTATTTTAACTTGCCTGTTCAGATTATTTTTAATCTGTAAGAGTTTTTGTGCAAAACCTATTAGAGGTCTTATAGTGCCCTATAGGGATTTATCACTTTAACTACCCTTCAAAGAGAAGATCCAGATCCATCCAGAGATTGTCTCACAGTCCGAATGGCTATAGAAACATTGGTGCAATATTTAAATCATACCTGCAGTTGTGCAATCACATTAGTTAACTGCCCAAAGTTTTTCAACCTGATAATGATCTTGGACAGTTATCTTACTAGACTAGTTACAACACTATTTTTCTGGTGGCTGCAGCAGTTTGCTGGCTTTCACTAGTAAACTCCAAGGTCCCTGGCTTCCCTTGTCCATAACTGCTTCTGTTTACAGCTAAATCACATCTTAGTGATTAGGGTACAGCAAAGAACTTCTGATTAGTGATTATAGAAGTAGCAATGGAATTTTGTGGTACAGATGGCTGTACTAATTTGTGCACAGATGGAATTATGAGTTTGAATGACTATGTAATTAGTACAAAAAAGTTATTGAATGGTTCATAGTTGCAATTTGATATCTAATAGTAACTCATTGGGCACTTCATAAACAGCTTTTGCATTATTTATCGATCGGATGAATATATAGCGAGTGAATATATAGATCTGGAGCTGCTGACTTCTCGGATTGTTGAACACTTGGAATCTTTTTTTTTTTTTGTGTCAGATTTCAAAGCACTTACTTTATGTAGCACCTTTTTTATTCAATTGATGGAGTTATATCTTCTCAGAAGTGAACAAATTTTCAACTTGCAGATAAGGAGCTCGATATAATTGAAATGGCTGTGTATGGTGATGTGGTGCGGCCAGGAAACCAATGTCGTTGCAGAACTGTTGCTGAAATGCTGGGTCAGTTCAAGTCAAAAGATCGCATGGCTGCTTGCAAATTACCATATGAGAATGAATCACAATAATCAATAGCAACAGGGGTTGTAAGATACTGTCCATGAGCCCTTGGTTTAATTTGGATTCATTTATTGATTTCTTTACGCAATCTAGCTTAAAATGCATATCTTGATATGTTCTGATTAGCAGATTGCTTGCTGATCAACTTGAGAATGCCACCTGACCCTCATCAATTTGGTAGTATGTCAATTTTGATTAAAGGTGTTTGGAAGAAGGTTTTGTTGGTCCAATACAAATTAAGACTGATGCATTAGCTATCATAATTGTTTGGAGTTTTCGGTGGAGATTGGCTAGCTTGACTTAGCCTGTACCAGTCAACTTTATTTTTTCTTGCATACACCATTTAAGTTGCAATAAGCATACAACTAGATTTAGCGCCATAAAATTATGGTTGGCTGGTCTCTTGTGTATTATTTCACTTGGTACGGGCATGTCAAGCATGTGGACTGCAATGGTGAAACTCTGGTTTGCTTTTCAGCTTCTTCAAGTCATCATGGTTCTCTCCACCAATTTGGGAGTCTTCATGTAATGCTAGAAACATGGACCGGGACTGCATCTGTTTTCGGTAGTGTTTGATGTGACTGGCATTTATTCTTGCTGATAACATGTTATGAAGTCATTAGCGTTTAGCACCATCTATATATGTAAGCTAGTCAAATTAATTGAGGACCACACGACACAAATGCACTTTAGAATGGAGTGTCCATACAGTTCTATCGTTGTTGTATTGATTGTGGTTTGAACTGGTTGATTCAATAAAATGAACTTAGAAAACAAGTTGAAGAATAAGAGGCAAAATGTCAAAATTTTGGGTTAAGATTTTAATTAGAAAGTTGAAATCTGTTTAACCATTTTCTATCTTCCCGGAGTGATTCAAAAAAGTCTAAACTAGCTTCCAAGTCTATGGAACGAATCAATACATTTATGAGTCACATTGACTAATTGTAGCCCATGTTTTAAGTAGATAGTGATTTCTTAGGACTCTAGTCTCCTTCAAAATCTTTTCTTCTTAGTGATACAAATTGGAATTTACCCACTTCAACCAACCCACCCATCCATTGAAGTGTCTCTAAAAGCATTGGTTTGACAGTAGCCTAAATCTGCCGAATTGCCCATCTTACATTGATTGCTCTTTGATTATTTCTTTAATTGATCAAAACAATTGGACTTGAATATGAAAATAGAAGAATGGGTCTTGTCATTGACTCAATAGGGTTATGGGTAGAAATGCTTCTCCATTGCTCATGGTGGTAATGATAAACAATAATAATAAACCCTAGCTGGCAAACAGGTTTCACTAATTTAGAAATGAAAATTTTGCTATTATTTTTTTCAAGTGGAGTTGAATGACCAAAGTCATGGAGGGTACCCAAGAAAGTAAAAAACAAGTCAGATCAAAGAATCTAACATTAAATATTAACTCCTTTCTAGTGGAGCTGAGAGGCTAATCATTTTTAATAAGCACTAATAATTTTGAAGAATCTCTATGCACACAAATTTGTCAACTTTGGTCAGCATATGCAAAATAATTTATTTAATTGATCCCCTCAAATTTCAATCCCAATCCCACTTACAAGAGCTTCCTAACAAAGATTATACATCCAAAAGTGGATTGTAAAGGGTGTGTTTAATGGGTAATAACATACTTTATTCAACTATAATTACTAATACAGCGGTGAATAAAATAATAAAATAAGAAATAGGCGTTCATATTGTATTTGATTATAAAATTAAATTAATTTCATATATAGTTAAAAAAAATCTTATAAAAAAAAAAATTCTAATCTCATTGAATCACTTTACCTTTTGAAATATAATTATTTACTTATTTTTGAGATTGAGAAATAATTGTTTAGCACACTTGTTTGGTAATGAAATGTAAATGACTTCACCAACTAAATCAAGTAGAGGAGATGATGGTAATTGAAGAAATGATGTCATAAGTGGAATGAGTGAAGTTGTTGGGCAATGATATGATTTGGATGATTACACCACTAGACCTACTTTTGACTTCCTCCCCCCTCTTCCAATTTCTATTCATCTACTTGATTGGTGACTCCAATGCTATTGTTTAATTAGGTTTTAGTGCTTTTGGTAGACCTTTTTTTTTTTCAATGATAACTTAGAAAAAACAATGACCAGTTTTTGAAAATTTTATTATATTTACAAAAAAAAAAAAAAAGTTATTAAATTAATTTATTTTACTGGCTATAAAATTTCAAACAAAAATGCATATTAATAGTCTCTTTGAAATTTTTTCCATCTTCATTAAATGTGTTTTTTTTTTTTTTTCTTCTTTTGAATTGTCAACAAAAATGATAGTGGAGAATATGGAACCCTAATTTCAAAATTTAAGGGATTTTTTTGGTTATATTTATAGGTGTTAATTTAAGTCAAATGCTTTCAAAGAAATCAATTTTTAATTATATGTATTAATACTCATTGTGGGTCTTTATTATATATTATCTAGATATGAATATCCTTCTTCACCATCCAACC